TTGGGTGAAGAGTCAGGTTGGGTTGACTACCTCCCCTGAATATGATTATGTAGATCAGGGACCACGATGGCCCGAGACAACGGAACCATAGGATCTTAATCGGGCCCATCTTTCATTCCCCTACCATCCGCTTTATGTGTACGATAGTGAAATTTTCAATTTTAAATATCAAACTTCCAAACACCTAAACCCATGCTACTACTATATGCCAGATACACATATCTTTATGTATCTGATTGATGACTAGCCTTAATTGAAAGTTATCTCTCGTTATCAAGTGGGGTAATTAACTATAAGGGCTTGCGCCTATAGGAAACTAGAACTCAGATCATAAAGTCCTCGCAAATAAGGACGAAATCTTTAGTAGTGTCTTATTTCAAACCCAATCTGCCTTCGGAAAATTTATCTCAAAATTTTATATGTTAAAACTAACACGAAAGAGGTGAGGCCGGGGTGCAAATTTTCAGAGCCCACAGGTTTTTGGTGACTCTGGTAGGGATTGATTTTCCTTTCCATCTTTAGCTAGTTGTCTAAGCGCTATAGTAGTAGCTTATGTTGCACCGATACAGATACGGCGACACGGATACAACACGATACGGATACGGGATACATCAATTCGTAAAAAATACAGGACACGGGTATGGCGCGGACACGGCATTATAATTTATAATCATACATAAAAATTAAGAAAGAAATCAAAGCATGATATTTGAAATTACAAAAAAAATGACAACAACATCATTTGTAGCCTTGTAGCTTATAATATCAAAATATAAGTAAGCATTAAATGTTTAGTACAACAACAAAAGCATAAACATAAATTATCTAACACATGAAATTTCAACTATTCAATAGAAGGAATGATATAATTATCTTCTTCATTGGTTTGTCTTTGAACTTCTATATCATCTTCAATAAATATCGTAGCTTCTAATTCAGGCTCATCAAGTGAAACATTAGTAAATTTTAATATTTTCATATCATCAAGAGACTCAAATCCATCTCGAAAATGAGAGAATCTTGTTCGCAATCACGAAAGTAAATATGACACGTCTTTTTTTTGGATTTATTTTTGTTTTTCAAAGGACACGTGTATCGGATACGCATGTCCTTTTGAAATTATATAGTATTTTAATTGGATACAACTTTGGCGTATCTGACACGTATCGGTGGAGTATCGGAGGCGTATCCGTGTATCGGTGTATCGGATACAGCACGACCTCATGAATAGGTGTATCGGTGCAACATAAGTAGCAGCTAAATTAACATGGGCTAGAGTTCCAAAGTTATCAAAATGATCATTCAATGAATTAAAATTTTAAATATCATAAAGTGATCATTCAATAAATTCATTTTAGTATTTCACTAAGCAGAGTTTAAAATGTGTTTAAATTTCTTGCTTTTGTTATTTTGTTCTATGTAGTCTCTACATTTTAGAAGTGTGGGTATCAAATGTTGATTACTAACCCTTGCCTTTAATTTGTGCTTATGGATCTGCCGAACGCATCAGTTACCGTCCAGCTGGGATGTGGAGTCAACATTCAGCTAGCGAATACTGTGATCAATACTGGAAGCTGCGGGGCCAACATCCAGTTTGGTGGGCTCAAATTTCTCGGAGCTACTGGAAGGGTTGTCTTCGCTCCTGTGAATGGCATGAACTATGAAGAGATTTTAAGGAGGCCTCGCCCTGCTCAAATTTTTGCACATTGCGTGCATTTGCCAGCATCGCGAGTTTCTATCGCTACTACTAAGAATCTTCAGAGAAGGATTTATGTTTTCAAAAGGCCATCACAGTCGGAAGCCCCAGCTACCATGAGGGTCATAGCTGGTGGAAGAATTTCTGTGGTGACTGAAAACACCATTGCCTTACATGCAGTGTAGTGGAATGATTTATATCCGTTAACGTTGGGCTATAAATCATTTCACTACACTAGAGATTTTAGGATTCACAAATCATTGACCACTGAGTACACTAAAAAAATATTTCTTTAAATGCAAAATAATAATATGAGAATTAGAACCCAAAGGATAATGTAATGACTGAATGCATCTGAATAAATTAGCTAGAGATTTGAACTATGCAAATTCAACGATCAATTGCATTTTATTTATCAAAATTAGAATTTTAGGCTATCAAATCTAAACATGGTCAAAAGCACTTGCAAGTTAAGAGCAAAATATGTAAAAGAAATTTAGTCAAAGAAAGACTTTACGAAGGAGTTGTTTGGTTAGTTGTTTTTTAAAATGCAATATAATATTTGGCAGGTTGAGCGACTTGAACACATGAGACATGAATGCCCTGAACCGTCGTGCTGCTGCAAATGTAGTGTAATTTGACTGCATGTATTTTAAAAATTCATGAGTTATTTGTTTTGATGCAATCATATGTAATGAATTTTATTTGTTATGATGCATTTTAGAAATATAACAGGCAATGATAGAAGGTGATGGATGATTACGGTCGATGACGATTGGTTGGTGATTGCTATTGGAGGGAAAGTGGTGGTTGTGGGTGAGGAAAGTGCTAATGTGTGTAAGGAAATCGTCATAATTTAATGATTTTGAACTACACAATAAATGAACAAAGAGATGAGTTTCAAATTCTTTTAAATCTTACTTTGTATTTGATAGGGATTAGTAATATCTTGTGTGACGTAGTGGGCCCTATTCGTTATATTAATTATAATAGAAAATAGCGTGTTGTGTTAGGGTTAATAGGTAATAAATGAGCCTTTTAAGCCTTTTAGTACCCGTCTTTTGTGAAACCCTTTAAGAAGTTAAAGCTGAACTCTTAAATATCAAGACACCTTTTGGTGTAACTATTGAAATTTTTGCAGAACTTCAAAGTTAAGCATGCTTGTATCGAAACAATCATGGGATGAATGACCTACTGGGAAGTTGCATCAAGAGGACAAAACCGTGAGGCCATTAGGCCAAAAAGGATTATATTTTGATGGTTGAGAGTTTGAGCTATTACAAATAGTATCAGAGCAATACTTCAACTAAAAGATGGGAACCAAGTGCTCCTATTTACCTAGTGGATGATTATGAGCTAAAAAAATTGATGAGGACATCATCTATCTAAGTGGGAAAGATTGTAAAACCTCTAACCAAATTAAAACTGAACTCTTAAATATTGAGATACCTTTTGATGAATGTTTCAAATTTTAGTAGAAATTTCAAAGTTAAGCGTACTTGTATAGAAGAAACTCCTGACCTCCTAGAAAGTTACACCAAATGGACAAAAGCTTTAGGCTATTAGGCCAAAGCGGATAATATCTCAATAGTTGAGAGTTTGGGCTTTTACATCTTTCAGGAGTATTAGGTATGCAACGAAATGATCCAAGTCCTTGGCTATGATTAATCTATTCTTTCACTTCAATCTCCATGTTATTGGGGTTGTTGGAAAGCTTGAATTATTGTTTATTGTTTCGATCATATGGGTTTGTATCAGCCTTATACTAATATAAAGAAACGATTTATCTCGGAATTAGGTTAAACTTGTAGCGCATTGGAATGAATTATCATCTTACTTACATAAAGAAAATTAAAACAGGAATAATAAATTTTATTCAGTCAATGTTCCTTCATTACATGTATCAGATTTCGACACTTACAAGCATTAAAATGTACCCTGGATTTTCATGATATATTTATCCTTTACACAAGCACTGCCATCTACTTCTCTGGTAATTTCACATAGAGAAGCCGCTACTTAACTGTCACTGAAATCTCGCATGGCAAGGCAGCAGATAGCAGATACTGTGGCTTATACAAGAATTATGGCAGTGGCATAATGTCCAACGATAAGTACAAAGTAAATGCGAAACCAAAGATCACATATAAAGCAGTAGTTGGCAGGGATTAGTCCTGTATAAGCACCTAGAACCATCTGCATTCATGTATTTTCAATGTAAATAATTTTGCATTGAAATCTTTCAGCCATCAAGCCTATGAAAGGCACAAAAGCAAATCCATATAGAATCATTGCCAAACAAAGCCCAAAGGAAATCATTTCGGGAGCAAATCCCCTTGAAATCATTTCTGTAATAGGCTATGTGGATAAGTTCAAAACTGCCGGAACCGCTACAAGTTACTGCATCACAGCTGTTCTTTATTTTTGAAAATTAAGCTTTATATTCACGAAGTGATTATCTCTTAATTTATATTAGACTCCATAACAAATGTAAGATTGGACAATTTCAGTTGTAAAATATTTCTTGTTTTTCGATAATTTGATGTTGTAGTTTGGTGAATGAAATTGCAATGTTGATTTTCTTTATGTTATTTGTGGAAGTATCTGTAAGGCCGGCTGAACCGGTCCAACTAGGATCGGTTCAGGTGTATTGTCGTCAGCCTAGGGGGAGGGCGGAACTCAGGGAGAGGGGGGCGGTTGGCCTAGTGGGCTCAAGCAATTAATCTAATGAGTGTTTAGGAGAGAAATTTGAATTAGGGTGGTTGTGGGCCCAAGCAATTAATGTAATGAGTGTTTAGGAGTGAAATTTGAATTAGGGGGGCTGTTTAAGAATTTTGTATGTCTCCTTTTGCTTTGATTAGGTGCTAGTGATAGAATGAGGATTTCATCTTGAATTTGAAAAGCAATTTGAAATCTAGGGTTTGTGTTCTTGGGCTTTAAGCTTAGCTAGAGATTTGGAGAGTTGTTTCTTCCTCTTGAATTGAAGAAACTTGTACCGTTACTGTTTTCTTTCATCTAATAGTGGATTTCCCCATTGTTTCTCTCAGTTTTTCCCTGTTTTCCTAATAAAATCTGCTGTCAACTGCTATTTGACTGCTGTAAACAGCTGTTATTTTTACTGTTTTCCACCCAATCTTGCTAGGTTTGTTTGCGAACTCAAGTATTACCCTTGGGATTACTTGCGAACTCAAGTACTTCCTATCAGTATCACACCCCAATGTTTTCACATCTTCCATTATCTACTATCCTGAGATTTGTGGCCATGCCATATTTTTATTTCTTCATTGATAGTGTTCGAATGCAGGTACTATCTGTCTCCCGAATTATGGTTGCATGGCAGCCAATCGGCATATCGATGGGTGTGTTTGACATGTGCCACAGGTAAACCTTGAATATGAAAATGTCATATTGATTTGGAATTTGTTTACCATACTTGGTGAGAAAGCTATGACAAAAAAACAAAGTAGGTATCTGAAGGAGAGGAAACAGTTCGGATTTCCACTTGCAGCATTCCAAATCAATCAGGAAAAATTAGTTCGCATGCTTGGTAACATTCAAGCTATGCTTCTTGTTGGTTGGCGTCTATGCAAGCTATATGAATCTGGAAAGATGACTCCTGGTCATGCTAGCTTGGGCAAGGTTAAACTTCTTATCGTCCGGACGTTTGTGATTGACATATTTATCCATGCTTGTGGGTAACTTTCTCTGCTTCCATTATTTAGGCATGGACCTCCAATAAGGCTAGAGAAACAGTTTCTCTTGGTCGAGAACTACTTGGTGGAAATGGTATCTTGGCTGATTTCTTAGTGGCAAAGGTCGGTCTTCTAGCATATTAAATATTCTTAATTGTTCTTCACCATAATGAGGGTTCTACAAGTTGGAATGACAAATATGACCAACAAACTTGCATGGAATTGCAGAAATTCTAATGGAATGTCATTTGACCATTTAGTTTATAGTCCGGTTGAAAATGCATGCATGATAGTTGATTATGGATGCCAATGCATAACTGTATCTTTTATAGTATTTTGACTTAAATGATCAGGAGGTTTGCTATTTATTTTTTAATAGAAGATGCTTCATTCCCCATATTATATTACAGATATTATTATGTGCAGATTGTACATGTAGCTCCATTTGCGGAAGATTAGAGTGCTAGTTATGTATTCACTGTGTACTCTATTTTTTTAGTACGGAAAAAGTATACAATAGTACATGCCTGTGTACTCCAAAAAATAGAGTGCATAAAATACACATTTGTGTATATTTGAAAAGAGAGTATGCCTCAACCTATGGGCAAGTATGATGAACCATTAAATAACTACAAAAGAGATTAAGCACCACAAAAGTAAATACTAAATTTTATGTGCATTGGCTTAAGCCTCCATCCACGATCGCACTTTGATTGAATATCCATTACGTTAAAGAGAGCACACAAATGATTACACTTCATATAAAATTGAAGATTTGGATAAATATACCACTTTTATCTAGATAGAAGAAAATGCATTCATATGCTTTAAAATTAAGGCCTAGACGTGAAGGAGGAAATGCAATTGCTTTTCTAGTTATTTTCTTGATCTTTTTATTATAGGATTCCAAATGAGAACTACTCCTTGTTGCTAGAATAAAAATTAATATCACATCCAGCTTAAAGAAGCTGAAAAACTCCCTTTGCATGCACCAAACAAAAAAATAAAAAAAAAAAACTTTTTTGCTTATCGAATAACATCCCTAGCATCTCTCTTGCTCTTCATCTCCTCCCTTTGTTGCTTCTTGTTATGAATGCTACCATCATTGAATATTTTTGTAGACTCCCTTATTAAATTTTCTGGTAGCCCATTTAGGGCTTTATGGAAGCCTCCATTTAAGACTTTATAGTAGCCTACATTTAGGATTATTTGGTAACTTAAAATTAGGATTTTGTGATAGTTACCTTTCTCAAAAAGTCATGATTAATTATTATCAAAGAAAGTCAATAAAATTAGACTCTAAACTTAACAGTATATTTTGGTACTCTTGCATTTAGTTTGCACCTAATAATTTCTTATTATATTGACACATTGTTCTATGTTTCTTGCATTGCATTGGATTTTTATATGATCAAATCACATTACATGGTTATATATTTGTGTGCTGATTAGGAAGTCATCAAGATTCATACCTTTTAGAGATCTTGATCCGCATGAAGGCGTCTATCTTTTGAATTGTGCCATGTGCAGGGCAATGTGCATGTTTGCATTGGGCACCATGTCTTTTAAGGAGGCATGGAAATTTGCGAGAGGGGATTGGGTCTATTATTTTTATAATATTTGCTTCTTGCGTCAAGGGTTTGGGCTAACATCAACTGATCTATCTCGGCTTCACTCGTCGTCATTTTTACTTAGTTCTAGGTTATTCTTTGAGGAATGGTGGTACAAACATGTGAGCGGAAGAAAACTTATATGTGAGGTGATGTGAGGGTTAGCGGTGAGCTAATGGTGGTCCAACCCACGAGGAATCGTTCTACTAAATTACAATTTAATTACTACTGCTTTCTTCAAATGCATCACTTATCGTACTGTAAATGAAAATGAAAATGATATTTGGAGTTTTTGTCACTAAAAGAAAATAAAGACTTGCAAAAAAATTTTTGATACTTATGAAAAAAAAAGTTTTGGAATAATAAATGTAAATAACATAGTTTTCCTAATTAGACTCTTAATTGTGGATGTATGTGGGCTCCGAAAATTCGGCCCCGACCTCCGCCCGATTGTCAGCTTTTTCTTTTTCGGGGGTGTTTTAACGGAATTAAGTTTCAGGGTAAATCTTGGGAAGGCAGATGGGTTTGTAGATAAGACACTACCCAGAGATTTCGCCCTAATTTTGCGAGGACTTTATGATCTGAGTTCTTGTTTCCTATAGGCGTAAGTCCTTATAGTTAATTACCCCTCCCGATAACGAGAGAGAACTTTCGATTAAGGCTAGTCGTCAATCAGATACGTGTTATCTGATATATAGTAGCAGCATGGCATAAGTTTTTGAAATTTGAAGGGTTTGGATGTTTGATATTTAAAATAGAAAATTTCACTATCTTGCACTTAAAGTGGATGGTGGGGGAATGGATGATAGACCCGATCAGGATCCCATGGTTCCTTCATCCCGGGCCATCATGGTCCTTGGTCTACTTAGTCAGAGGAGGTAGTCGACCCAACCTGATAAAAGGATCCTTGTCAACAGTCATGGGTTGCTTCGTCTAAGGGGACCTTGTAGACCTTGATGATTATTTGCCTAAGGGAATAAATTTGAATCAACCTTAGCTAATAGAGGGCCTTGTGCCTTATCGATCATATCCTATTGATTCATATCTCAAGAATTTGATGCCACTAAGGAACGTATTGGCTCTGGCCATAACCGATATTTCGTGGTGCTATTTGTCGGCAAAACCTCTCGGTTCAGAGGCCCCCGGGTCATAACCATTTATCCTGCGGTGCCATTTGGCAGCAAAACTGCCGGTTAGAGAACACGTCCCACGTCCTTATTGGCAGGATATTATTTGAGAATGGATCCTAGTAATATTTTCAACTAGGCATTAGCTTTATTTGGGCTGAATTAAATTTTAATTTGTCCACCTCGGCAAACTGTTGCGGAGGGTGGATGAATTTTGCTATAAGTGGTAATGAATTTATTTCAATTTTTAATATTTTTGGATTTTGGGATTTTTGTGCATTTAAGTGGCATTTGAAGATATTAGTGAACCCCTCCAGTTGAGATATTCGTTCAACCCTGTCATCATCGGAGTGTTTGGGGTCATTTCCATTTTGAAAATTTTTACATTTTATGGATAAACCTTATCGACTCTGTCGAGCTGTCGACATAGGATCAGGTTTCATAGGCTTTGTGCGTTTATTAGTGAGTTCACATTGTTATAGGTTTAATATGAATGTTTATAAAACAAATGTATTGGTCGCCATGATCGTGTATTTGTTTGATGGTTTGAACCCTATCGACTTCTATTGATCCGTATAGAAGGATCGGGTTCGAACTTGAATTCACTTATTGACCCACGTAACATCCCTAGACGTCACGTGTGTACCAATAACACGCTCGTCGGGGCCCATGCGGGTGTTTGAGGGCATTTTATAATTAAATCCTGTCGACTCCTACTTAGGAAGATCGGGTTTCATAGACTTTAGAGCTTTGTTGGTGAGTTTTCTTTATTGAAGACCTTAAAGTCCTAATATAAATATATAAAATAAATATCCCGACCGTCCTTACGCCCGCATATTTATTCAATGGTCGAACCGTGTCGACTCCTATTTTCCCATATAGGAGGATCGGGTTCGGACTTAAACTCTTCAGTTGACCCGTGCAGCATCCCTAGGCGTCACATGTGTATCAATAACACGCTCGCTGGGGCCCATGCAGGTTGCGATTATATTTATCCCTTTAGTGTATCTATGTGCATACAAATTAAGGTGCATGTGCAGGGGTTTTATTTCAGACTTGGTTGACGCCTTCTGTTTGCTTATACAAAGGTTGCAGATCCGGTGGCGTGGCATAGCAGTTTCTGGATTGAGTTATTTACTGTTTTGTACAGGTAGACTATCGTGCACTATTTGTTGCTTTATGTAGGTGGATCATAGTGCACTAACGAATCTCCTGCTTTTGCATACAGGTGAATCATAGCTTTATCAGCTAAATTTCGCGAGATATTTCATTGTTCTGATACAGACTCCCTTTTCTCATTCACTGGGAGTTTCTTCTTGAAATTCATGATCATTGCCTTGAAAAGAATCCCTTTCAGGGTTTTAGTGTAGAAGACTTGTTATTTCTGATATTGGTGGAAGTCAGAACTTTTTTATTCCAAAGTATAGGACCAAGAAGAAATTTTGGAGCACCAGGAAATTTAGTTCGAATTTGCTCAAACTTCTCTTCCATTATGTTAGGAGGTGTCCTTTTTCGTACATCGAGTTATCTTCATGCCCGACATACTTCACACTATCTCAGTCACCGTTGTTGTAAGTGATACTTATACTTGTGTCCACAGTGGTTCGCTGTGCCTACGACATACCCACTGTTGTTATCCACAAGCAGTTATTCCTTGGTGTTTTTTTTTTTGTGGGTTAAGCATAACCTAAGCAAGTTCCAAACTTTCTAATCTTTATGGAAACTCTCAAATTGCTAGCTTTAATAGATGAGTGTTGAATCGTATTAGGAATTCTGTAACTTTTGCCACCAATAAAAATTCTGAGAGCTTCTTAACTATCCCTTTGGCAGCGAGCTTTAATTTGCTATCATCATGGTTCTCCACATTAGCAAATGTACGGTTGCTATGGAGCTGCAAACCGTTATCATCCTCTAAGCCCTCCAATATCAGCGCTTCTTTCTTCATGTAAAGGATGGACATGTATACTTGCCACAATATTATTGTCAATGATATTGACAATTATGGTTGGCTTTCATATTCACCATGACTTGTAGGGATATTAGATCTCCAAACTTCGCTTGTGGGCTTGTCATTATTCGTAGATAGGCTAATGTACCAATAAAATGGTTGATGTTAAGCGTAGGGAAGATTTTATATTCGTTATCAATCCCCCTGTACATGATGATTAACGAACTATTGTATATGCTTGTAATTGCCCAAGTAGTCCAATTACTTGTCACTCGTGTGCATCATAGCTTTATTCAACATAAGTCTCACACTTGTTTGTTGATATGCATTTGATTGATAAAAGCTATCCCTTGATTTTAGTATTCCATTTTCAATCATGTGTTTAATGACCTTGAAATTCAATTCCTTGTAGTATAAACTTATTTGATTGTTTAAAAGTTTCAAGTGTAAGTGATTGTTCAAGTTCAGATTCATCTAGATCTGAGTTCATCAAGTTCATAAGCCCCACTTGATGTTATACAGTTCAAGAAAGTACAAGTTCAAGTGTCCCCTGCAATCTAAGTCTTGTTCAAGTTTAATCTCCACCACACTTAGTTCATTTGAGTTTGAGTCTGAGCCAATGTGTTCATTTTCAATTAGTTTTGAATTCATTTAAGTTTGATTTAGGCTCAATTTTATGTTCAGTTCATTGTCCAAATCAAGTCCTCTGTGTCCAAATTAGGTCCCATGTAAGCCCAAATTTTGCTCAAGTCCACGGTGTCTTCAGTCTGAATTTCAGCAGCCTTCCGGTGTCTCCCCCGTTTAGGGAAAAAATCCGAGAGACTAGCCTTCCCCTAGTCGCTACTTGAGCGCTTCGGATAGGTGTCTAACGACACCGCAGCCTCATTTTCTTTAATCCTCGCCCTCTATGTGAGCGTTTAAAGGTCTTGTACACCTGTTGAAAAGAGCACAGAGATTTCCCCACATATGGGTACTTAATTTTGTCCCCCTCACGCTACATGAGCGATCCGGGGATTACCCGTCTCGTTGCAAAGGCCGTGCCGGTTTTCCTCCCTACTACGCTACGTGAGCACGTATGGGGTTTGTCGGTTTGTCGCAAGCATCGAGGATAGGATTTTAAGCAATTTTGGCCTCATCATAGGCGTCGCATTGGTTTCCTTCCCTACTACGCTACGTGAACTCGTAGGGGGTTTGAACATAATTAAATATAATTAACATTAATTAAAATGAATTAACCCTCCCCCTTTTTCTCTGTTTACGGGATTCGGCCAAAGAAGTGTGAAAGGGAGAAGTTACCTATACAGCAAGTGAGCTCCTATTGTTGCTTATGACCGAAAATGTCGTAACTTCCAATTCAATCGGAAGGAAAGTCGTGGACAGAGCGAAGTCGGACGACCAAGGAGCCGGAGAAGTAGCACGAAAGGGAGAAAGTTACTTCAAAGCAAGCGAACTCCCCAAAATGTCGGAACTTCCAATACAATCGACTAGAAGGGACGGCGTTGGAGGGGGCAAAGTCGGACGGCCACGAGGGAGTAGAAAACAAATGATCGGAAGGGAGAAGGTTCCTTTATAGTCGCGAGCTCGCGTCTTTGTTCCTGACCGAAATGTCTTAACTTTCGGTCGGCTTGAAGGGAAAGTCGTCGAACTAGGGAAGCCGGACAGCCATGCGGGAGCATAAGAGGCGATGTCAGTAATCTCTACACCTTCTGCGAAGCACCGAAGCCGAACCTTAACGAGGCAGAAGCGAGAGTGAGAGAGGAGAGAGTGGGAGAGAGGAGCGAGCGCGAGAGAAAAATGAGCCAGGAAGAGACCGAAGGCCTCGTTTTCTTCGGCTATTTAATAACGCGAATGCGTCGTGCGGGCGACGTGGAGAGAGCGTCGTGGATGTGTCCGCGACGTGCGAAGGGTGTCTACGATGTGCGATGTGTGGGATGAGGGCAGAGCAGGTACGCGGCACATTTTTTCCTTTTTTTGTTTCTTCGGTCAGCAGGTCAACAATGTAGATCAGAGCATATGCATCACAAGATCTCTGCCGAGCTTGTAGGGGTGTAAAGAAAGGTTTAAAGCCTTCTTACAACTTTACTATCTCCATATAATTTAAAATGTTCAAACATCCTATGTCTGAACATGCCAACATTTCATTTTAATATTCCTAATTGTTCCAATATTTCTTTATTAGGGCTATAAATCACATTAGATTTTAACTACATACATGGACGTTGCATGCATTAAATAAAGAATACGTGATATTAAAAATATCAATACATTCATTTAAGCACAATAGCCTATATTAATACTTGCTATGCTTTTTATATGATCAGTTCAAAACTGGATAACTAACCAGACATGAAAGATATAATAAGCAAACTCATCTTCATCTCATTAATTGGAAGAAAAGTTACAAGAGACGTAATACGAAAATTATCACCAGGATGGATCAAATAATCGTCTCCCCACTTCTTCCATAAACTTCAGAGTTGCTTACACAAAAAGGCTAAGGTCTCCACAAGAAAAGTATCTTGCACTTCTCTAGCCTCCCTTAGACTTTACTTTAAGGGAGTACTAAAAAAATATACTTAAAATTACAAAAATTACTCAAGTTACAGAACTTTCTAAACAACATAACTAAAAAATTATTTATAGTAAGTACAAGGTCAGGTTTAGGTGCCACGACGCTCGACAAGGTAGCGCCACGGCGGTGAAAAATGAACTAGCATCTTGGCGCTTGAAAGTTTGCTCCGCTGTGGCGCTGGCTGACATGATACAATTGCTGATTGAAATGGCTTGTCTTTTTGCTGAGGCGGAGCGACTCTTCTTCTTCGACAATTGCTTCGCCGAGGCGTTCCGAAATTTGAGTGTTGTGGAGCTCGAATTGAGAATCTAGCATTGAGGCGTTGAAAGTCATGGCGCTCCGGTGTGAATTTTCCCTAACACCCAGCGTTGCGGTGCTTATTTTTGGCGCAGCGGCGCTAACTATGGTACCGCTACTGTGCTAACTATGGTACCGTTGCGGCGCTTGCAAACAGAGAAGTCGGCGCTGCAACGTCTAAAATAAGCGTCTCGACGTGGATGATGATGGCACTGCAGTGTGAAATGACTTGGCGCTGCAACACCTGAACTAATAGAAATCTTACATAGTCCAAAATGTTGTCCACGATAATTCTCTGGGAATCTGAAATAGTCTTCTTTTGAAAACCTTTGCTTGGCATCTTGTCTCCTTACTCCAAAAACCTGCATAGGAAAAAATCTAGTGTCAAATACATTTGTATTTTTCAGATTCCACGCTTCTAAGCTTTGCAAAGAGACCAATTTATATCTCATAGTTCCTCGTCGTGGTTTTAATATTTTATGGGAGGATTAGCAGCTTTTATGGTGCATGCAAGAAGAATACTTGCGTTTGAGGTAATCTCTTATGGTGAGATTCTTTGAGTTTCTTCTTCTTCTTTTATTGTGTGTAGTTAAAAGTGAAAGAGCTAGTAAATGATCTTGATTTCTTCACTATAATTGTGACTTTTGCATTAGTGGATCTATTGCTTTCTCCAATCTTGTAGATTTAGATTTAATTGAAGCTGAATCATATAAATATTATTTACCATTTTTAATATGCCACTTTTCCATGTTTTCTTTTTATGTTCAGGCCTTTTGTGATATGGAGCCAATATTTTCCTATGAAGGCACTTATGACATCAATAGTATGGTAACGGCCAGAGAAATCACTGGCATTTCAAGCTTTAAGCCTGCTCTGTTGAGCAAACTAAGTCGCCTCTAGTTCTGTATACATCCTCGAATATAGCCTTCACAGGTTCTACGATGGCAACAAGAAGAGATTGGAGCCGGCCAAATAATGCTTATCCAGGTTCTTTGCTTTGCATATTATCATGAAATCTGATGAGAAATGTCTATTAGTTATATCTGCTTTCAGCATCAGAACAATAACACAAGAGAACATTCAGATTTACCTTCAGCTTCCTATTCAGCTATATCCAAAGCTTGAAGGAGGGTTTGTTAAGGTTTTGTTTGTTTTTGAAAAAATGTTTGGCAATTTCTTGGTGATGATTATCATGAAGTTGAAATTTAATTTTAATTGGCCCTTTTTTCCTTAGAAAAAGTTTGGTTGGGTGAAAAAAAGTCTCGTTAATAACCTTTAAGGATGCAAATGAGCCGAGTCGGTTTGAATTTGACTCATGAACAAGCTCACGAGTCAAATTTATTTAATAATGAGGTCGAGCTCAAGTCTTTTTTATTATATTTTACTTGGAACCTCTCAAATGTTTCATTTTTTATATGCAGCTATCCACACTTGCAATTTCTAAAATTTCGTACATAAACTGTAATAACTAACTAGTTGATCCCAAGTTACAACTACTACATGTTTGTATGAGAAATCAATAATATTTAAATTTGTACATGCGCATGTCCTCTTCCTCAAATCAATATCACCATGAAGCTCACTATTAAGGCAATGAGCTATAGACATTATAAGTAACTTGGTTATAACCTCTCACTCAATATTGATTGCGCCTATGTTGCACCACATCCTACTTCCTTTAGAAGATTCTATATTTCTTGAATGGCTACTCTTTGGCTACACCAAGGCGGGTAAAATTACTAAATTTATTTCACTTGAAATCTCTCAAATGTCTTCTTTTATAACCAGATATATATCTTTAGCATATATAGTTAATCATGTTTCTTGTGTATTGAACTTTAAAGATAAGCTATAATACCTAACACATCAATCCAAGTTACAACTTTGAAGATAAGCTATAATACCTATTAGGTATGCAATCAAACTTTGGGCATTATTCAAGAGCTTTATAGTTTTTTTCTTTTGTTAAAACTATATTGTATTTGCTACAATGGTTAACGTACTAAAGAACTATTTGTGTATCATCGACCTTAACAACTCTACCAAAGTAGTCACTATATAAAAATGCGTACTCTTGTCAGCATTGTTTTTTTTTTTTGGGACATTTAGGCCATTTAAGGCAAACTCACACACACAACGCATACACAGAGACTCGAACCTTAGACCTCTTAGTTGGAAGCCTTAGCTCTCAACCAATAGGCCAAGAAGAGTTGTGTTTGTCAGCATTGTTGAAGCTCTTTGAAATATGCTTGTCATTGAGCAATTTCTTAAGAAGAAAGCAGGAGCACATCTCTTAAAGCTGGCTTCATTCTCTAGATAGGTAGGTAGATATAGATTCTTAAAATATATTTTATCAAAATACATATGAAACTAAAAAAATTTATAATCTCTTAAAGCTAAGTGATATTTTGCATGAAATTGTTTTATTTTGAACTTCATCATTAAATTCATTATGATATGATGAGCACAAGCTCTATAACATGCATATGAAAAAATGATTAATAAAGTATTAGCAATACTATCATGTATATTTGAGTAAAGCACAAATTTTCCCACAGTGCAATTAACTTAAATAGTTTAGTCGTAAAATATATTCATGACTCCTTATTTTTTGAGTAAACTATTACAAATGTCATTAGATAAATATAAGTATTGATATCTCGCACAACTATCAAAAGTAAAGCTTTATAATGTGTATTAAAAAATGTTTCATTGACATATAATATTGAGCTCCATACACTTATAAAGCTTAACAAGCTTTTCAGTGTGTAGCATAACATGATTAGATGATAACGTCTAAATAATATTTGAATGAGCCCTTTTACTTAAATGATAGCTTGCTCATGACACTATCAATTCTTTTCATAGGATAAATCATTGTTGCAGCCCCATTTAACATTTGATAATTTTTGTCTTTGGGTTCAAGTTCTGATTGAATCCATTGAGCTTTTACATAATTATATGTCCAATAAGTCATGAATAAGCTTATCAGTGGTGTTTTGATATAACATCCAAGGTGTAAGTGTATTCTAATGCAAGACCCTTGATAAAAAATATATTTAAATTTGTTGATTTCTTAGCTCATAAGTTGTATGAGCATTTCTCTAAATTGTATTGGATATACCATACTTCTTTTTTCTTGATTTCTTTTTAATGGATTGAAAGTTTTTTATTATTTTATTTTATTTTATTTTATTTTTTAAATTGTATAGATATGTAACATCCTATTTAAATATTTTATATTCTCAAAAAACTAACAATTGAACTTAGTACAATCTTATGCATAAGTTCATCATATTAGCTACCATAAATTTGTAGCTATTTTTAGGCACTAATCCTTGTAGGATAGAAGTTATCATGTGTTCTCCATCTTTTGAATTATTGCTTTTGGCCCAATTGTGTATAAAGAATCAAAATACCTCATCTATTTACTAGTTCAAGGTTGATCATAAATTAAAGCTATAATCTCCAATGGATGCATTAGCATTAAAACATCCATACTAACATTTGCTACTTGTTTATCCACATCCTTACCTACTAATGCTATATGTCCACACTCTTGCATGTGGTATGTCCACATTACCACCTGAAGTAGCAAAAGAAGGTGAAATAATTGATCTTGCAACATTTTCATTTGCGTAAAAATCTACTTTTGAAATCTTCCTAGGAGCAAAGAAATGTCAAACTTCATTCGCATAAAAATCTACTATCGAACCATGATTGAATAACATGATTCGTATAAACATTTAAGACATACTCTTTGATATTATTTCTAACTCTATGTAGATCTCAATCAAAATGGCCTAATCTATGATACACGACATAAACATTAAAAAAAGTGGTATTACTATCTGCTAAAGTCATCGATGAGCAAATAAATGTAAAACTTCATTGGCACAGTAATCTGACACTCATGAATGAAATTATGATGATGACATTAATGGAGAAAGCTTAAATATGGAAATGTTCCTATACAATGGGATATAAGAATATAAATGATATTTGATCAGAAATGAGCTTTGAGGTATATTTTCCTAAGAAAATAAATAACAGATACATTTTGTTAATTTAAGTATCATGAGGCATATAAAGTTTAAATTTTCAGAAAGAATTATTTTTCATGAAATAAAAGAAGATTGGTTTATTTGGTTTATTAATATAAGGATATTGTTATATTATCTTTTCAATCAAATTAGTTACTTTTTTTTTTCTAGTGACTTCATTAAAAGCAATTTAATTTTTTCAAATCTTTTTTATGTTCTTTGAAAAAAAAGGAGATTCATTGGACAGAAAGTTAAATCAGCAACCAAACCAAATGAAATAATGTGGCAATCTAAGCAATAAGTCTCCATTATTTAAAAGAAAAAAATTAAATGTCAAATATAATAAGGAAATTTCTCAAAATTTAGGCCGAAAGAAATTATCTTAAGCTGATTTTTGCAGAGTCATAAATTTTTAGTGGAGAAATAAATTGGATTTAACAATAATTTTGAATTTCGGATTATATGGTGCAACTCTTCAATGAAAATTCATGTTGGAGCTTCTAAGAAAATTGTCAAAGGGAAAATGGATTTGGGCTTTTGATTACAAAAAAATGTTATACACTTGTGTAGGGGTGTAAATTAGTCAATCCAACTCATGAGCTGACTCGGGCTTGGTTGGATAAATGGCTGTAGGAAGTTGTGTAGGAAAAAAAAACATCTAAGGCACCTGCTAGTTTGTAGGATAATCTCTAGTTTGTTGGTCCACTAGTAAGCAAAACTTCATAGCCTTATCTATTATAAAACAAAATATGTAAATGTAGGAAGTTCTATTGCCCAAGTCCTATAGCCGAAGTAATAAATTCTTGACTTTGGAATACCCTTAAGTACTATCTCTATTATGTGTGATAATACTAGTGCAATTTGTATCCTGAAAAATCATATTCAATATTCATGCACTAAACATATAGATATTAGACATCACCTCATTAGGGATCATGTAGCCAATGGAGGTATAGAATTACTACATGATGATACTGAAAACCAATTAGCATATATCTTTACCAAATGCCTAAATTATGATGCATTTAACACGCTCACGATTAGACTTGGTGTCATTGACATAAGTGCTTAGAAAAATTGGGGATGTGGTATGTTAGCTATGATTGTGTGTGTAAGTTCTTATTTAATTTTTATTACGAGCTTGTCATATTATGCATGTTTGTTTGTGTTTTAGTATTTATTGTGTGATTTTTGCTTATATAGATTTTGCTTGTAGAATTAACCCAAATAATCACACAAATCCAAAAATTTTTGTTCGCATATTACCATATAATCATCATCATACAATATGCTCTACATCAGTTTGCACGCACAACATCAACCATCCATTCTAGCCTACAAACTAGATTAAGTCAATTATTAAGGTTTTTACTGTACAAACATCAATTTTTATTATACGATATACGTGACTATGACCGTTGAGAGGACCTTAAATTCAGTTGATTTGATCTCTTATTATAAATTATATCGTACAAATACCTGTTTGTAGTCGACGATCGATTTAATCAATGATCATATAGACTACTCATCGGGCCAAATGATTTTATGAAGATCATCTAGTATGATACTTTATTGTACTATATGTTTTGACCACCTTTTGAACTATTTTGGCATATGATTTGTCCATGTTCTAATCGTACTGTACAATTATCTTCATAATGTATAATTGACTAATTTCTATAAATTGGAGAGAAATTTTCATTCTAACTCACATCTTCCAAACTCTTTACCTTCTTCCCTTCAGATCCATATCCTTAGCATTTTCCAATGGAAGGTAAGAAATCTTGAGCTCTTCAAGAGAGTTCTTCCCATACCAGGTTGATGATAGGTTCCAATTGATAGGAAATGAAGCTATTTATCATTGATATAAGGCTACCGCCATAATGCCATTTAAGGTTTTTAACCATGAAATCCTCAATTATAAGGTATTAGACTTGTTTGTAGGCATTACACTACATTTTTTTTATGCTATCCTTTCCATTCCATTTTGAGATGTTGTATGAATTTTTTTTGCTACCCTTAAATTGATATAGAACGCACTTCCCGTTAATCTTATCTATGAAGGTATCTAGTCGAGACACCAATTAGGATTTTGATGAAATTTTGTATATCTCTATTATAGGTATAAGATCTCACACTATAGCCACTACAGATGACTATATTAGACACAAGTTAATCATACACTTTAAAACACTC